TGGGCCCATGGGGCACACAGAGATGGAACCACCAACAAAAGAGCATGGGCCAAAGAGCCCTCTACACATGGGTAGCAGATGTGCAGCTTGGTCTTTATGTGGGTCCTCCAACAGTTGGAGCTAGGGCTGTCTGTCTCTGACTCAGACTGCGTTGTCTGCTTTCGGATCCCCTTCTAGCTGGGCTGCCTTGTTCGGCCTCAGTGGAAGAGGATGCACTTACACTTGATACTATTGAATGTGACAGGGTAGGTTGGTACTTGGTGGAGGTTGGGGGTTGGGAGGGGTGGGGTTAGGGTTGGGGTAGGGGTCTGCTTCTCTGAGAAAGAAAGGGGGTAGTGGAGGAAGGGGAGTGGGAGGGTGGGGCTGGGAGGAGAGGAGGAGAGCTGCAATCAGGATGTAAAGTGAATAGGTAAATTAATGGAAAAAAAGAATAATTTTAGTGAGAAAAGATTAAGGTTTTCTCATGCTGTTTCCACTTTACTTGTAAGCCAAAGTAGTTTTGAAATGTCTGCTATCCCGAAGAAGCCCGAAAGACCAAATCTGGGTCAGCCAGTCTTGTTTACCCTGAAAACAGTTATTTGGAGTCACTTTGTGTAGAACTTAGCCTTCCCTGCCCACTGTGTCTGCCTGCATTTTTTCTGCTTTCCAATCTATCCACAGAGATACATTTCCAGAAGGCTCTGGCTACTGCCAGTTCTTACAGAGACACAACTCTGCTTTCTGGTGTCCTACCTCAGTTTCCCTTTTGCATGCCTGAAGCGGGCTTGAATACAGTTTGATTCCATCTCAGCTGAGAATTCTGCTGTCCTCTGAGCCCTTAGGTCATCTAATCTTCAAGAGTGCACGTATGTGAAACTCTTAAAGTCATGATTGGTCTTGCTGTGAACTCAGTTTTTCCTCAAAAACGTTTAAAAACTACTCCAGTGACAGAGGACTGAAACTTTGGTAGAAAGAGATAGATTTCACAGACAAAATGTTTTCTGCCTTCAATATTGCTCAGGATATGAAGAACTGAAACAATTTTCACCAGAGCAAGGCACTGTGTATAAAGAATGTAGAGTGGGCTGGGGCTGTGTTCAGTGCAGAAAATTTTGCCTAGTGTGAGTGTAGCCCTTTGTTACATCTCTAGAACACAGAGAAAGAACAAGAAGGGAGGGAGGGAGGAAAGAAGAAAGGAAGGAAGGATGGGCATGGTGGTGCACACCTTCAATTCTACTACTTGGGAGGCAAAGGAAGACAGATCTGTTAGTTCGAGGGCAGCCTGGTCTACATATGGAATTCTAGGACAGCTGGATCACATAGTGAGACCCTGTAAATAAATACATGCATAAGAAGGAAGGAAGGAAGGAAGGAAGGAAGGAAGGAAGGAAGGAAGGAA